TGTTAAGCATCTGCCTTCAGCTCAGGTCATGATTCCAGGGTCCTGGGATGGAGCCCCATCGAGCCCCACATCAGGCTCCCTGCTTGGCGGAAAGCCTGGTTCTCCCTCTCCCAATCCCTCTGCTTGTGTTCCCTCTCTTGCTGTGTCACTCTCTGTCAAATAAATAAACAACATCTTAAAAAAAACCCAAACAGCTAATTTATAAATTAGTAACAATTAATCATTCATAGTTTTATTTTTAAATAAGTGTTTTGTTATTTACTTCTATAAATAAATGTATTGGTTTGGTACAATCAATCAGTTATTTGAGTGAGTAATTACTAATAAAGTTTAGTAATCATTAATAATTAGCAAATTCACCACAATAGTTCATGAACTACTGCAAGGTACATTCACTGGTTCTTTCCATTCTTTTACCGTGGGATACTGGCCTCCACTGGTGTTCCTCCAACTCTCTAACTTTCTCAATTTCAGAAAGTACTGCCTGGCAGATTGAGCCTTCTGTGGGTTTGTGACATTTGGGAAGGTACTTTTTTGCCTTGCCGCTAGTCTAGAGGAGAGATTGCAAGGAACTTGGGAGGCTTGGGAAACACTGCCACTTTCCAGGCCCCGAGCAAGAACACTTGCTCTGTCCACGAGTGAGGGACTGGAGACTGAGACAGAGGAGAGGATGGTGTCAGAGCTGAACAGAGGCTGATGCCCCGCACAGGGCCACTGATAAACCAGTTCAAGAAAGGTCTCGATAATGGATGGATAGATAAGTAGCAGGTTTTTTAGGGAAATCAGGGAAGTTCCAATTCCATCTCTGGTCTTTCAGGATGGTGTCTTAGAGTGCAAACACTGGACTGTCCCTCGCACTTTCCTCAGCATCGTGGTCGGAATTCTGGGCTAGTGGCCTTTGGACTGATCTTGGATGACATTTCTGATCTTCTCAAGAATATCGGACCCAAAAAGGTCACGCTAGAACACCCAGAAGAGCAGGTGAGCTGCCCCCAGGGCCAAAGCTGGCCCTGAACACCGCTCCAGATTTAAGATACGAGTTCTTCAAGCATGCCACACCAAGTGCATCGGCACCTGCTAAATACACACTTTCAGTGTGGGTCACGCTACTGGTGATGATGCCTATGGTGGTGGACGTGAACCCATTGATTTCCTTTGGTCTCAAATAGATAAGTGGGGGCAATCTCACCAAGGAGGTCTTTTTCCAAGTGGGCAAGGCAGGAAAGATCCCTCGACTCCAAGCATGGAGTGGTTTGCAAACATTCTGGCCTTGGCCAGCACCATTCTCCCGCCTCAAGTTACATGTCATTATTAGGGGGCTTCCAGGTGCACAACCCCCTGGGCATTCAGCATCACTTGCCCAGGAGCAGGAATGCTTTTGGTTCAGAGCTCAGGATCCCCACTCCCCCTCCCCATACTCCTTCCTTCTTTCCCTCTCCCTCTTTTCCCCTTCCCTTCCCTCCTCTCCCTTTCCTCCTCTCCATTTTCCCTTCTTTCTGCTCCCCGGCTTTCCTTTATAAGCCTTGTTGCTGTGGCATGGATGACCCTGCCAGGACTTCCCAGATACCGTGGGAAGGAAGATGTGTCCATGAGATTCAGGGCCGCCCCCTTGTCTTCTAGCTCCTGCTAGGACAGAACTCACAGCCCTGGTAAGTGCAACCCGGATTGTGGAAACCCTAGCGTTCATGGGAAAGAAGAGAGGGGCTTTTGGGTCTCGCTTTCCTGTCCGTTAGTGTCATCATTCTCAACCAAGGTTTGGGGCCCAAACTGGGGCCTGATTCATTGATGGAAACCCCAGGCTTCAAGGCTGGGCTGCAGCAACACAGGGAGGGGCTGCGGACAGGAAGTGGTGTGGCCGTGTGGGTGTGAAGGAAGGGTTTCCTCCCTCTGACACTTTCTATGCTGAAGGGGCCTTTCTCAGCCTTCCTCCCTTCCCTCCACCGGCCCAACACACACCTTCACTGGGGGACTCAATTCAGATGTGGGGCTCCAGGCCGCGCACACAGCAGCCGTGTGAATATAACCGAGTAAATCCAATCCCCGGCAATTTACCGACTTCCCTTGTCTCTCCTGGAGTAATACAGTAGTTCCTCAAATTTATACAGAATTTTTGCTTCTTCAGAGTAGGGGCCTGGGAAGCTGGGATGCCCCAGCGGGGAGGTTGATAAGGGCGTTCTTAGCAGCCAAGGTCAGTGAACGTTTGGTTTTCAAAACTCTTGTCACCATGGCCAGCTCTCCCGGAGGGGACTCGGACCCCAGCACCATGATGCCCTACCCTGAGCTTCCCTGGCTGGGGCTGCTTGACATCACATTTACTGCTCTGACATCAGATGTGGGGGCGGCTCCACTTTAGTGAATCCGCAGCTCGGGGGGAAGGCCCCCGTGTTTAGCAGCTAGTTGGAATCAAGGCCTTGTTAGCAGATAAAGCCATTAGCCTGTCAGAGCAAAGTGACTGGATCCGGGGGTATTTAGGAGGCCCAACTGAAGGGCTTGGTGAATCACTCTGGGAGCATAATGGTTCCAGCTATGATGCCAGGTGGGGACAGAACCCTTTATTAGACAAGCAGGAAAGGTCGAGAAACATCTTTGAAGGGAAGACGACGCGACCGTGAGTACAGCTGTGCACGTGCCGAGTGGGTTATGATTGTGTGATGTGCTCTCAGAGACGTGCGAAGGGCCCCTGAATATACCAGCCGTCGTTCTGGGTACAGATGCAGAAATTATCAGTTCGGGGATAGATGGGAGATGGAGGACCCAAGAAGAGGAGCTCCTTTCTGCTGTGAAGCAGCAGGTAGAGACATGGAGGGAAATGCAGAAGCTAGCGTCGTAATCTGAGGGATGAAAGGAAGACAAGACCTGAAGTGTGGCCATTAGATTTGGCAGCCAGAGCTTATTGGGGACCTGCAGGAGGACAGTTTCAGTGAAGGGGAGGGAGCAAAGCTAGATCTTCTTCTGACAGAGACTGACAGGTAGTCCCCAAATCCCATTTGTCCCCCACTGAGCACATGGCCGAATTTCAATCCCCAATGTCCCTGGTAGCTCAGTGAGGCCATGCGATTGAGGACTGGCCATGGGCTGTGGGTAGAAATGGTATGAGAGAGATCTGCTCCCCACCATCCTCCCTGGGCCCCTTGTCCTGAGTCTCCTGGCCAGAGGAGAGGAGCCAGGGGGCCCCAAGGCCTTGGGGGGTACAGAGCAACTACATGGAAGGAGATGGTCTCTGAATCATGGTGTAGAGCCTGGGGACTCAAGCCCGGGAGGCCAGCAGGTGCAGACACACCGGGGTTCGCAGTGAAACCAGAGAGCAGCCGGCCAGACACGGTGCCAGAAGGGGTCAGAGCAGATCAGCGGGCAGTACCGCTGGAGGACTGTGCCGGCCAGGACCGCCGGAAGTCCCATGGGATCTGGCTGAGACGCGGCCAGCACGAAAGGTGCTCCCTGCAGGGACAGATGGTGTTGGAGGTGAAAGACAACAGCTTCCAAACACTTGCTGGTACAGGCACACACTTTATGTGTTCATACTCACAGCCACGGTGGCTCTGGGACCCTGGCTCTGAGTCTACCGCTCACGAATGGGCTGGTCACCAGCACTACGGTGGGACGTCCTGGCCAGCCTTGTGAGGTACTGACAGGAGGTCATGCCACATATAGACCCCAGGTCCTGCCCTGAGTCACCTCCTGCGACATGGCTTCAGCTTGATGTTCTTGGCTCTGAGGTGGACCAGGAGTCATGTCAGACCCTCTGGGGTTCCGACCTGGTTCTGCTCCTTGCTCTTGGGGGATCTTGGGCAAGGCCTTTCCCCCACTGCCTCAGAGCCCCTTGTCTGCAAAAGTGCACGAAAGAGGCCGGATGATTATGATTTATAAAATGTCTCTTACAAAGAAATGCCACCACTCCCCTTAACAGCTGCATCCGGGAAGCTTCGGCCCAGTTCTGCAGCTGCCTGGGTCTCTAATGGCAGATTCCAATGCCTCTGACCAGAGAAACCTTGCAGCCTGCAGCTGGTGTGAGTTATAAGAGACCCTCACATGAAAGGCCTGGGGGGCAGGAGACACTTGCCCAGGAAAAAGGAGGCCCTCAACAAGTAGCCAATATGTATACTTGTATGAAGTCAGCAAGTTGGTCACCCCTGGGAGGGTCTGGGTTCTCTCTTTTCTTACTTTCTTCTTTTTAACAACCTCATTTATAGCAAAGCATTTTCCTTCTGTTCCCATTTCTTGTGCCCTTTAGGATGGTATGGCTCTGCCCTCCACAACTCCCTTGGTCCAGGGAAAAAGAGAATTGGAAGAGGATGGGGGAGTCCTCTGCCATTTTGCTTTTCTCTCTCGGGCCACCTTTGACTTGTCTTGGTTCTGCTTTTCCTGAAATAATAGTTAGACGGGACTTTTGAAAAGAAATTGCTCTCCTCATCTGCCAAAATATTTGTTTTTTTTTTCAACTAGGGGACAGATTTCCCCATTCTGTTGTGATTCATACTAATTGTCCTCTGATCCAATGCCTACTTTTGGAATGGGGAGGTGGCCCAAGAGTGTACAGAAGAGACAGGAAAACCAGCCTGGAAGAGAACATTGCCCATGAGAGCCCAGCATGGGCGGGGCTGTTGACAGAGACGGAGGGACACCCAAACCAGAAGACAAGCCCAAGTCCTGCCCAGCATGACTATCCCTTCGCGACCCAGCTAGGGTGGCAAGAAGTCCCATCGGCCTTTGCTCTGCAGTTCCCTAAAGGTGCCTCCTGCATCAAGCCCAGCTATGACCACGGGGACGATGACCAGGAGGGGGAAGCAAGACCCAGGAGCCACAAAACAGCCTAAGGAGACAGAAGGCGACCACCTCTCCAGGACTAGGAAACATCCTGTCTTTCTAAATCCTAAGAACTTGGCCGAAGGAGAGATCATAACCACCTTTATTCTCCAAATTCTAGAGAAAATAATTCTGCACAACATGGAAACTACTAGCCGCCAGAGTGGACTAAAGGGACTCCCGAGAGCAGGCTCCCGGCCCGGATCCACTCAGGGCTCCGAGAGGTGCCCTCAGGAGCATCCTGTGGTAGCTGTGTGCTGAGGACACGGCCAGGAGCTCCGAGGAGGTGACCTGGCCACCGGTTCCCCCTGGACACAGACACGGAGGGAACCCTTCCCCCACCAGGTGTGAAGAAGACCAAGGCTCCTCCGTCGGCAGAGGAGGACGAGCCTCGGGCTTCATCGGGGCAGGCAGCCAGCCACAGGGTCCGGCCGGGGCACCGGCACAAAGTTCATGGGGCACAGCAGCAGCGGACACATCTTCTCGTGCTCCCTCAGTGCTTCGCTCAGGTGCTTTAGCTCCTCTGTCAGCTTCCCGATCTCTCGCCGCAGCACAGTGTTCTCCTGCTCCAAGCACTCGTACTCCTGCACAGAGACACGGGGTGGGTGACGTGGTGGCTGCAGCCCCATTCCCTCCTGGGATGCGGGCCTCCATTCCGGGAGAGCCCCACCAGGATGAAAGGTCCAAGAGGGCAGGGCTGTGCTTTTTGAACCGGCCTGACTGAGATACGATTTACATCAAATAGAATACACCTGTTTTACAGGTCTCGCGCAGTGAGCTTTGGTAAATGTCAACGTGCATCAAGAGAATGTTCCCGTCACTCCTAAAGGTTCCCTTGTGCCCCTGTGCAGCCTGCCTCCCCTCCCCCAACTGCTGAGCAGCTCTGGGAAGATCTCTGTTGGGGTCACTGCTGTGGGCCCAGCTCCTGGAGCAGTGGCTGAAACACAATACACGTTTGCTGACCGCGTGAGTAAATGAATGAAAGTATCCCTTGCCTTGGCTCTGCCCTCGACTCTCACCTGTGAAGTTTCCACCATAGCGGAGTTTGCAGAGGCTTACACCTGGAGGGGCTCATAGATACCCCTCAGCCCAACCCACCCAACGTAGAAACCGGACATCCAACTTGGGCTGGGCACTCTTTTCTTCAAAGGACGGTCCCTGCCTTTCCTGAGCTGCTCTATTAGTAAAGCTCCTCTTTGCACTGATACAAAATCTCCCGCTCCTTCAAACCCATCCATTGGGCTTGGTTCCACCTTATGGAACCACACAGAGTAAACTCAATACTTTTTCAACATCGCAGTTCTTGTAATATTAGGAGATAGCCCCATACCACTTCCCCTTAGGTATTCTCTAAGCTCAACTGTCTCAGGTCTCCTGAGCGCCTTGGGTTTTAGGACTTCTGGTCCTTCTGTCCTCCTAGGGGTCAGCCCAACACACACTGTCACCTGCCAGGATCTATCTGGCGAAGAGTCATTCCCAAAGTGATTCTGGGGATGGCTTGACCATGCACAGGGAGCTGCACGGAGGTGGCCGGCCCTGGGGCTGGACCCAGGCCTGCAACCACCTCACCCTGGAGACTCTCCCTGAGCTTGCAGAGAAGTGCGAGCCCCGTCTGCCTCTGCTGCTCCTCTGTCTATATTTGGACGACGACTGATGTTCTGAAGATTAAGGGTGGGCTCTACATCCACTTCTTCTGACTTTCACTGCGGTCACTTGGGCGTCTTCCAGCCTAGCAAAGTCTTTCTGAATCGTAACGGGTCAGCTCACGGATCATGATACTACACAGCTATAAGCTGCCCATTAACTTGATAATTAGGTCTTCCTTCTCTTCCTCCGAGTCACTGGTAAGTTCTACAGTACTTGGCCAATGGCAGAGCCGCAGGGCATGCCCATAGAAATCATCTTGAAGCTGAGAGCCTTATTTAAATATATTTTTAAAAGATTTTATTTATCTATTTGATAGACAGAAATCACAAGTAGGCAGAGAGGCAGAAACAGGTAGAGAGAGGTGGGGGGAGGAAGTCCCTGCTGAGCAGAGAGCCCGATGCGGGGCTCGATCCCAGGACCCTTAGATCATGACCTGAGCTGAAAGCAGAGGCTTAACGACTAAGCCACCCAGGCGCCCAACGTTATTTAAATCTTGCTGCAATTTTGTTTACCATGCATTTCCTGACATGAGGACCCAGCCTTATTATTATCCACCACATCTTTTCTCTTAACTAGTAAATTTTCAAAAATATCACTAAAAATTTAAGTCTGATCTTTTTACAGGCCCCTAAAGCACATGCAAATTCTCAACTCTGGCCCTTTGCTAATGCTGTTCTCTTCCACTGGAGTATGTTCCTCCATTTCTGTGTGAGCCCAGCTTAAGCCCACCACCTCCAGGAAGGCTTCCCTGATCACAGCACCTAATTATGAACACAACCCTCATTATGTGTTCTAGTCAATCTCATATCACATTCAATCTTACTTATACTAAATAAGATCGCTTCCCAAAGATCAGAAATGTATAGCACCTAGGAGCCTCTGCTACCCTCTCCTGTAGCTGCGCCTGATGGGCCACCGCCCAGTCACTCCTCTGCCTCCTTCTCGCACTGGCTTCCTTCCCTCCCCACCCCTAGGCACCAGAGGTGCTGCACACAGAGGCCTGTCTGAGCCTTCCCCAGGCAGGCCCTCTGGGTAGTCTGAAATATGCTCCCAGGCAGCAGGCAGCACACACCCCCTGCCCCCACCCCGCAGGCTGTCCCAGGTCAGGCCGGCTTCATTAGCCCATGGGCCCCCTTCCGCCTTCAGCCCTGCTGCCAGCCCCACTCCTCACGCTTTCCTTGGGCCTCTCGGAAGCTCTAGTCCTGGAGCCCGAGTTCCATCTACAATGTGGCAACAAGCCCTCCATGGGCCAGGGGAGGCGGTGGACGGGAAGACAGTCATCGAGGGAAGGCTGCCTGCAGCCGCAGGACGACGGGCTACAGCTCTGTGGAGCGTGTGTACACACACAATGCACACATGCACATACTCACACACACAACTAGACACACATACACACACACACACAACTAGACGTGCTCCTCACCTCCCAGTAAAATGGAGAATAGATGTGAATGGTTCCAATGAGCAAACATTTTAACTAGATTCCAAAAAACAGGAAAGTCTCTTGCTGTGGCAGAATATTCCATTTCTGTATTAGCTTGTTTGCTTGTTGAGTTTTGGGGCAGGATGCCGCGAGCTCCTGAGCCTTATCTCTGGAAACCAGGAGGGGCCACGCTGCCTAATGTCTTCCTGAAGTAACACTGCTTCCCCCAAACTTCAGCCCACCAGGTCCCCTGTTTGCCTACTCTGTGGGGACTTTCTCTTCTGGGATTTGACTTTTACTCATCAACCTGCTAAGGGACTTTCATGGAGCTAAGGGAATAAAAAGGAGAGAAGAAGTCAAGATCTTCTGGTGAGATCAAACAACAAAAATAAAAGGAGGAGGGGCACCTGGGTGGCTCCGTGGGTTAAGCCTCTGCCTTCAGCTCAGGTCATGATCTCGGGATCGAGTCCCGATCTGGGATCGAGTCCCACATCGGGCTCTCTGTTTGGCAGGGAGCCTGCTTCCTTCTCTCTCTCTGCCTGCCTCTCTGCCTACTTGTGATCTCTCTGTCAAATAAATAAATAAAAATCTTTAAAAAAAAATTAAAAAAATAACAAATGGAGGAGCTGGGGCGAGTGGAGAGGAGATGAGAGGAAATGGGGGTGAGCGGGGAGTAAGACCCACTTCACACCGAGAAGAAGTTACCCGACTTGACAAACATAAAAAAACATCTTACAGTGCGCAGACCCCACCCCCACCCCCGACAAGGAATTAGCTGGCCCCAAATGTCAACAGTGCCTAATTCAAGAAACCCTGGTCTGGGCATCTAAGGGAGGTTGACTGGGGAACGAGGGGCTGTCTGGGGGTATCCAGGGTCCAGGATGAAAAACTGGCAAATGAGCTAATGTGTGTCCCTGGGGCCAGAGGTGACGGTGAAGGCAGAAAGGAAATGAGGGGTGGAAAAGGCCATCAGAAGGGCACAGCCACACACAGACCCCATTTCACAAGCGAAGAAAGTAAAACTCCAAGAGCCACAATGACTTTTCCAAGGTCGTGCAGGCTTGGAACCTGACTTCAAGGTCAACTGCAGCCCTTGAGCAAGGAAGTAATTCTGCTTTCACTTGGCAGTGCCTGGCCCCAAATTTCCCCGTGGTGGTTACCAGCAGTAAAGGGCTGTGAGTGCTCAGGATTTTACAATAAAGCCTATTCCCTAGCCCTACCCTGAACTTCCCAGCAGACAAATTGTGTCATCAGGGAGGGCTCTACAAATTGGTGTCATCATCAGTTTCTGAACCAAGGGGCGACGACTCGAAGCATTCTCTTAGAACATGCAACAGCTGAAGAAGCTGTGACAACACAGACCACAACCAAATTGCCCAAGAAATCTGTCAGTTGGTGACATTTGGGGTTCCTGAGGATGGCATCACTGCCTTCCTTTTCTGACTCAACGTTCTTTCTCAGTCTTACACCTTGGGCTGCCTGGCTTGAACCAGTCTGACCCACTTCTGAGACACAGTTCTCCCTGCTATAGAGCTGGACTGTTCACGCACATCCTTATTTGTGGATGTGGACTCAGGCGTGTGCCCAACATTCAGAGATGAACAGGGACTGAAATCCCCCTGAGAGGTGTAAGTGCCTTGACAGGATAATTCGAAAAGCCACAGTGAGCGCTGAGGTACGGACACACACGTGTTAGGAACAGCTTCTCGGCACCACACTCGGGCTTCCAGCAACAACCTCCCTGAGGGAAAACTCAGACTGAAGAGTGACCCCAGCCTCCCTCTGGCAGGGCCTACTCAGGCTCTCCCAGCCCTGCCCTCCAGGGAGGCCCGGCCCCAACGGACTGTCCCTCCTGTCCCCCAAGATGGAGAACTAGGAGCTGGGGGAGGTAGCCCAGAGGCTTCTAGAAGCTGGGACTGGAGGAGGTTTCTCAGGGTGTCGGAGGTAAGGGGGACTCAAGGTGAGTGAATGAGGTGGGTAGGAGAGAAGGGTGGGAACTCTAAACAAGCTCCAGATGGTCCCCTTCGTGGTATTCAAGGAAGGCAAATAAAGACCCTGAGTTCCTCTGAGAGATGCACCCATGTCATCCCACAGGATGGGACTGAGTACAGAAAGGACTGAGTACAGCCCTTCTCATGGCCAAAACTCCCCAAGGAGTGGCGGTAGCCCTGGCTACCAGGTGGCAGCTTTCTGGACCCTTTAGTGTCTCTGAGAGAGAGGGACTGATCCTATGTTTGAGGTTTCTGAGAACTGTATCTGGTTCCCACGTGCCCCATCCTTGATGGGTCTTGCAGCCCGAGGAGGCCTTGACGGCTTTTCTGCCATGACCCAGAGCAGTGTGCTAGGTGCTCTGCCCTCAACTCACTTCCTGGAGCAACTAAAACAATTCTTCACTACATTTTTAAACCAGACCCACCCTCAACATGCATATTTTTTTTTCAAAGTTTAAAAAAATACTCCTTTTTTTTTTTTCACTATATTTACTCCCCCCGCCCCCCCGCCATGTTGGCCCTGCAGAACAAAGATTCCCATAGCTGGGATGCCTTCCCTGGAAGGAGGTGAGGAATTAACATGAGAGCTATTATTCATGTGCTACCCTTCAACCCAGAGATGACATTCCTCTTCTATAGCAGGACTGGGATGTAGTTCCATTTTCCTGAGCCGGCCACCTGCTCCCCCACTGCCCCCTGTGATCAATAACACTAGTATGTAGCTAGTGACAGTAAAGATGGGGGCTATAGCTTTGGGGTCTATATATGGATGGACCCACTGTCCTGTCCTCCTGGACACTGAGTTTCTCAATAAGACTGGCCTTGATGAGGTGATCTGCCAGCGATGGGTCAGCAGGATCTACTCTTCCTGCTCCACAGAGGTAGAGAAGGGAGTTTTCTCCCATGGAGGGAATGGGTTTCAGATCAATTAGCCGCATTTCCCAAAACAGCACCTGCCATATCTTGTCATGTGACATGGTATACAGACCGCAGAAGAAGCTAGGAACCCTACAGAAGGGGGTCCCCCCCCATGGTTCTAAGAGGGATCAGGCAGGAGTAAATGTACCACCCTAAATTTCCCAGGCATCTGGCTCATTTGGGTATCAAATTCAACAATGACAGATACTGAGAGAAACCGTCTTCTTTGACCCTGTAGGATTTATGCTACCCTCTGAGTTAGGCTGAATAAGGGCCTCCCAAAGATGTCCCAAATATATCTACATCCAACCTCTGGAACCCGTGAATATGTTACCTTATGTGGTTAAAAAAAAAAAAAAAGAAGAAGAAGACCTTGCAGATATGATTAAGAATCTGAATGTGGGGAGATTATCCTGGATTATGCAGGTGGATCCAATGTAATCTTAAGGGTCTTAGTGAAAGAAAAAGTCAAGAGTCAGAGGAGATGTGTCAGAGGAAGTGTCAGAGTAATGCAGCATGAAAAAGACTTAACTAGCCAGTGCTGGCTTTGAAGATGGAAGGGAACCACAAGCCAGGGAACACTGAGAAGCTTCTAGAAGCCAGAAAAGGCAAGGAAATGGATTCTTCTCTGGAGCCCCTGGAAAGAATACAGCTCTCTTGACACCTTGATTTTAGCCCCGTTGAGACCCATTCCAGATGCCTGACTTCCAAAATTGTAAGGTAAGAAACCTGTGTTGTTTTAAGCCACCAAATTTGTCATAATTTATTACAAAGTCCATAAGAAATGAATATACTTTCCTTGAAAACTCCTATGGTTTAAAAAATAGGAAGGAGATCTTATTCCTCTCTTTGTGACCTAGCATCAAGGCCTTGTCCATGGTAGTGCTAACAAATATTTGTGGAACGAATCTACCTGCTCTTGCTCTGTGGAAGGTCTTATCGTCATTTAGCCACCACCACACACATCATCACTTGGGACTTACAATTGAGTGTCCCCTAGTGTTTCCTTATATTAATGCACCTGGCTTGGACAAGAAGCTTCTTGAGGGGCCTGGCTGTCCAGCTAGCACACAGGGTCTGAACGCAGGGCCATGCCCTAACTGGGCGGCAAGTGCCCTCTGGGGTAATCCGGTACCATGAGGCTAGAACCAGGACTGCTTCAAACGCAAGGGGAAAGGAAGAAAGGAGACAAAGGACATTCCAACTCCTCTGTGGGACGTTTACAGGACCAATTCAGGCTGGGAAGGATCTCGTCTGACCCTATCTCCTTTTAGGGCCCAGCCTTCCTGCTTCCAGGAGTCTGATATTCGTAATTCATGCCCACTGTGAATTTCTATCATTGGTCGCCTCCCCCTGGCGTATGTACATCCTAAACCTGTTCTCAGTTCACTGTGAAAGGCTTTTCAGATTGTTTTTCCCCTCATAAGACCTCGGTATCTGCTATATTGTCAATGCCCCCAGACCCACCTTGCTAAGACCAGCTGTGACAAGACAGCAGGCTGGGAAGGGCTACATTAAAATCCTTAGTGATTTACACCAACCTTGTCTAAAGATGAGCGTTCAGAACTATCATCAGTTCTTTGCACAGACACTTGGATACCTTTGAGGCCAGTGCCTGATAGAGGGCAGTTCCCATGTTCTGTCTGTGAGATTATGTGGGATTATGCATAAGGGTAGAGGAAAATGGGAAAGTTTACGGTAAATCCCAGGTTCCTGACGTGGATGATGAGAAAACTGGTGAACTCCATTAACTTCACTTGAAGACAGGAAGAGAAGAAAGAGTCTCAGGGTAAACACACTTATCAGTGTGTTGCATCCAAGCAGCCTGCACCCACCCATCTGAGGACATCTAAGCAGACATTGGAAATATGGGGTCGGGGGGGCCTCGAACTGAGGTCTTGCCTGGAGTAGTCAAAGTGGGGAGCTAATGCTGCGAGAACAGATGAATAGATCGTATCTTCAGGGTCGGAAGGAAAAAGAGCAGAGTCTGAAAGCCTGGTCAACACCAAAACTTAAGAGAACTGACAGAGGAAGAGAAGGTAGCAAAGAAACGGAGAAGAAAGGTGGTTAGGAAGGTCCAATGGGACATGCGGTCTTTTAGAAGCTGAAGACCTTGAAAGAAGGTCTCAGGAAACGGAGAGGGTCAATGGTACGAAATGTTCAGCAAGGTCAGCAAGGTCACAGTCCATGAGTCTAGAAAGAAGTCCCCGGATCAGGTAGTGCCAAGGAACCATGGGTCCCCGCGGGAGCACCCTCTGCAGAAAGGATGTATGCGCGCACGCGCACGTGGCCTGCGTACGGTCACGTGCATGCGTGCGTGTGCGTGCCTGCGTCCATGCTGGGTGGGGCGGGGCGGCAGAAACGCCAGCACAGAGGACTGGGAAATAAATGGCACTGAGCGTGTGGAGGTAGCCGGTCTCTCTGGGAGGAGAAGGGAGGGGAGGAAGGAAAGAAAACAAATGGGGCTTGAAAAGGAATTGGTATCGAGAAGAGGTTTTGTTTCGTTTTGTTCTGATTTATAATGAAAGGAACTTGAGAGAGGAACCACCAGCGGATGAGGGATAAAGATGTCCGTGAAGGATCGGAAAACTGGGCTGGAAGGATGCAGTGACATAAGACGTACGTGTCCAAATTGGTGGTGACCAGGACATGACCTTGGGGCCACCACCACAGCTCCTTTCCGTGGCCCTAATGTGGCTCTGCCCCAACCACAGGCTCACCTCGTGGAGTTTGTCAGCCTTCTGGGTCTGCTTCTTCCGACTTCTCTGAGCAGCAACTCGGTTTTTTTCTCTCCTTCGGACCTTCCGGTCATCATCGTCTGGGCTCTGGGGGGAAAATGTGTGGTTAGGTGTGCTGTCGGGGCGCCTTGCTTCGCCTTCCTCTGCCCTGTCCCTTTCCTCAGCATCGCTTCACCATTTTACTTGCAGTCCTGACAGTGCTTGTTGCTACATGGGTGGGACAGCACTAGACCCTTGTTCAGCCTTGTGCCCTGGCTGAGTTTAGCTGCTCATTCCCATGACCCCCCTGAGAAATGTGTGGTTGAGACTGCCATTTAAAAGATGAGGATAAGAAACTCAGAGGGGGGAAAAAAAAGAAACTCAGAGGGGGTAAGGAACTTGCTCCAGGTATCACAGCTAGACGTGGGTAAATGGGAAGTGGAACTCAGGTCTGTTGGACTCCAAACCAACGTTCATAAACCTCTACCCCACAGGGTGTGTGCCTGGAAGAGGTGCGGTGTCAACGTCCATCTGAGAACAGGGAAGGCAGAAGGCATGTGCTATCTGGAACTCGCTCTGTGGCAGGCCTTGCCCCACCACACACAAGCAGGTACTTTTGATACTGCATGCACATTTTACACTGATAACTCATTGCAATCACACAATTCTGTCAACACATCAAATGATCTCAGACACCTCATTTGAACAATGCTCGATGGACATTTTCACCAGTCAGAGTGAATCAGAAAGCAAACTCATGATGTGTCTTGAAAGCTCTCAGCTCTATATGAGATTTAACCAAACCTAGTTGAATCCTTCAAGAGTTATCCTGAAACAGGCAGGATAAAAAAAAAAAAATGTACCTACCAAGATAAAAAAACATTTCAGTTACAGAAAAAACATGGAGAAGTAGAGAGTATTTGCTTTCCGGAGCCCTGTGAGAAGGTACCAAAGGGCGGGGAAGTGGTACGCTACTTTTAAACAGTTTAAAAGCCAAGAGGTTAGTGGGATACAAACATAGGAAAGCACTCAATTATTAGCATTAATGGAGAGCAAATATTGATAATATAAGATAATGGGTAATTTCAGTTATTTTATCTGGTCTTGTATGAGAGACACTTCTCCCCAAGCTCTGGTGAGTAAAGAATTTTCAGTATACAGAAGAATATAAGCCTATAGAAGGAGAAAGATAACATATTATAAATAATACAATAAATGGATGTGGTCTGGAAGTAGTGCTTAAGGGAACAGGCACAAGGTGTTAAAATGTAGCTTTTCAGAGGCAAAGAAGTCTTGGTTAACATAACCAGGATACCACAGGGGCAAAATGTGGTTTACAGGACAGAACTCTAGCTAGAAATATATAGCCACTGGTTTTGTCTCTTACTGTCAATACAGCTTGGGGGAAATGGCTTAAATTCTCTGAATGTTCAGTTTTCTCATTTATCCTAAGTGTGAGTCATTCATTCTCTCAGCAAGTATTAACTGAGTACCTGCCATGTGCCAGGCACTGTTTTAGGCACTGAAGAACAACCGATCGGTAATCACTGCACAAATCATTCCAACAGCCTAATGCTTGGGACTAGCATTCGGATAAAATGAGATTTTAACCTAAAGCTCCCAGCACATGGTATGCCCTTAATAACCTAAGGAGGCTACTATTATATAGTAATAGGTTACTACTATTACAGTAACCTGTGGAGGTTGCCATTTTTCGAGTCTCCCTTAGTGCTTGTCTCCAAATCATGCCTTTTTGTTCACAATTAAAAAGTCATAGGACCCAAGGAAGCAACCTGCATATTGTCCTCTGGGAGCAAGACACTCTAACTTGGATGTAATCACCTATCCATATGGTCACAGCTGAGAACCCAGCAGTAACATTCAATCAAAACAGAAAGAGGGGAGCGAAGTGTTAAGGAAATCATAAATATTTAACCATATCTTAATCATAAAAATTTCGAGAGGTTATTACTATATTCATTCTACAGGTGGGGAAATTGAGGCTCAAAGAAGTTAAGCAAAATGCTCAAGGCCACTCAACCTGTGTGTGATTAAACCGAGGTCCAAACTCAGAAATGTGTGACTCTCTAGCGTCACCGGATGACACTACGTGCAAGGCATCGAATTGGGAAGGTGGGGGGGGGCATCACGATGAAGACTCCCTCCAGAGCAACCGAGTGGGAAGTTCTCTGATTGCCATCCCCGCGGGCAACTTTATCTGTTTCCTGAGTAGGTAGTTGTACATGTTGCCAAGGACAGCACAGAGGGCTGAACCCGGGCCGATGGGTTTCCACCAGCGGCGGGACTGGAGTTCTCCCACTGCGGGGCCCCCTCCCCGCTCCCTTAGGCTGATGGTTCGCGAGTTCCCCATTCGGAGGGTAGATGTTGGGAGTGCCTGGACACGAGCTGCCCCTTCGGACCGAATATCCCCTCTGTGCACCCTGGCGCCTGCGAAGGGCCACGCGCGCAGGGGGTGGGGTGGCAGCGGGCGCCAGCGCAAGGATGGCGACACCGGGACAGCGCGGATCCCACGTGCGGGGAAGCGTGGACTCTGCCCGGGCGTCTGCGCCCTGCGGCCTCTCCGCTTCCCGGGGCGCAGGAGCCGGGTCACCGTTCCGGAGGCGGCGGGCACTGTGCGTGAGCTGGGGACCACCGGGCAGAAGCGCCCGCGGGATTCCTGCCCCGCGCCCCCACTCCTGCAGGTCTCTGGCTCCCGCAGCGCCCTTCACCCCAGCACTCAGCGTTCACCACCCCGGAGCCCCAGACCCACCTCCTTCGTGCCCCTCGGCGCTCCCATCCCCACATGCCCGCGGGCCTCCCTGAGCCTCTAGTCCACTACCTGGGGCTGCGGCTGGTTCCCCAGCGCCGCGACGCTCCTCTGCAGGACGCTGCCGGCCGCCGGGAGCACTTGCGACATGCCGGGCACTCCTCCGGCCCGGCCAGCCCCGCCGCGCAGCCTCGCGGAGGAGCGGCCGCGCGGCCCGCCGCGCCTTGCACGCGGGGCGCTGCCTACGGGCACTCGCGGGTCACCCGCATCCTCGCGCCCCGGCACCTGCCGGCCGCCGCCCTCCGCCCCGCCCCCTCGGGCTTCCCGCTCTCCCGGCGCCTGCGGCCGCCGCGCTGCCCGGGTTTCCCCTCCCCCGGCCCCAGCCCGCGGGCTTGCGCGTCCCGAGTCTGCCCGCCCCTCCTCTCACTCCCGCCCCGTTTCCTCCTCTCCCCGCCCTGTCGCCGCACCTCGGGGTCCCAAATCCCACCCCTGTCGCGGCTTTCCGCTGGGCCGCTGTGCTTCGTGGAAGTCACGTGGCGGCTCCGGAACTCGGGAGGGAACGCAAAGCCCCACTCACGAGAAGGAACGCTGGGGCCGCGAGGGGGTCGGGGAGACGCAGCGCAGCCTTTGGGGTCCTTCGGACGTTCTCGGGGAACCCAGGCTGAGAAACACACGTGGGTGGCTTGGACGGGAAGGGGGGTGTTTCCAGTTCCCATCTCGGCATCTTCCTGCGCTCCCGGGGCCCCGCCTTTCCCTAGCGCAGGGGTCAGTTTTTCGGGACTTTCTTCGGGGCGATCGGTCGCCCAGGCTCCATTCTCACTCCTTCCTCGACCCGCGGCTCCCCTGCCCGCGAGGCGCAGGCCAGGAGCCGGCAGCCAGCTTTGCCGGGTCCCAATGCCCACCCTGAGAGCCGCGGCCCCCCGGGGCCTGTCTGCGGGGGGCATGTGCCCTTCTTTCCACGGACGCCGCGAGGCTGTGGGGGAGAGCGAGACGGGGCGGCCCCGAGGGTGAATTCCCTCCGTATGGGGTGGGGAGGAGGAGGTTGTCCAGAGAGCGAATCTACCGCGGTGGACGTCATTCTTGACAGGTTCTGAACCTCAGATGCTTTTTCCTTTAGGTTAAAGTGCCAGGTGCTCTGCCCACAAGTTAAAATGCGAGCCTTAATGCCAAGCTGAGGACAGGGTAGAGGTATCGGCGCTTTCCCCTCCACCTGCCTGCCAGTGAAAAGATAACAAAGTCAAGCAGTATCGTGCTTGGGCCCACCGAAGAGAAAAACGAGCGGTTTCGGGTTTGTGGTCTGCTTACTGCGAGCCCCGGGAAAGAAAGATAACCACGAACCTACATGGGCGGGTGGGAACCAGCGCCCGGAGGTCGGACGTGCCTTCCGACTGTGGTCGCTTAAGTGTTGAGGCTCTGGGCAGCAGCAGGGGATGGGGGCGGGCGCTTCGGGCTCTCAGGCCAGCGCACGTGGCTCTCCGCCAGGATTTAAAATCCTGGCAACAGCTTTGAGATGCAGCTTGAGTGAACTTGGTTGCCTGGCCGGGAGCCAGGAAATAAGCAGACGATCTTGTCTCCGGGATCAGGGGGTTCCACCAACTGAACAGAAGGCTGAGGTACAAGGCGGCGGGGAGGACTGAGGATGGGAGCAACCCTTTTCAGGGACAGTGCCTTACCCTTATACCATCAGGGCTACACAGCGGAGCCATCTCTACGCTAAGTTATCCGCCTAGATTTATTTTCTCATCTTCCGTTTATCCTTTTCATCATGCTACATCACTCACGGTTGCCCCGGAGCTATTCTTTTGCAAACCACACAGGTACACAGTCTTCCTAGTACAGTGCTACACACACACACACACACACACACACACACACACACACACACGCGTGCGCAGTAAATTCATTGTAGTACATTGGCTGAGAGCCCTCAATTCCTGGAAACATAAGGACTCTAGCAAGATAGGAAAACCTCTGGGTCAAGTGGTCTTGAATTTTCAGAAGTGCTTTCGTTCTCCAGTGCTGGTTAGGAAGGGAAAGGGTAAGGTGTAAACACAGCGGACATTTAGGTGCTGTCCCATCCTACGTTCTGGGTATTGCCAATCTCCTGTTCCCATGGAGCCACACCACACTCGAAGTCCTCTAGGGCTGTACTTTCTACCTCGGTCCCCACGCAACGCGATCCCCCTCGCGTTGATCCATGTCCCAGCACACGAAAACTCTTCATATAGGCATAGGCCTTGTGTCTCCTCAAATATATTTAAAGGAGGACTCCTGGTTAACTAGTCAGCATTTAAGGAACAGGTCAATTTGACCTATAACACATCAAAATGGATGGATTAAATAGTTAGATACAGAAAGTAAGACCAGGGAGATAAAACAGAATTAAATTATTTACTAAAGCCCTGGGATTAAGAATCTTGGAGAGAATTTTCTAAGACCACATGTGACAGGAGATACCACATCAGAAAGATCTGAACTGTACAAGAATGCTAAAGTGCTTTAGATGTGAGCATGTCCAGAAATGACAAAGACATGGGGAAAAAATATTCACAATAGCTATGATAAAGGGTTCAAATTTCTACTATTTTTATAGCCCATCAAAAGAAATAAGAACAATATTGAGACAGCCTCTCAAAAGTAAACTGCACAAAGGACATGAACTGGCATTTCCCAACAGAGGAAATAATCAAGAAAAATAGATATAGAAAAATATGTATATTAGCATGAGAAACATTTAAAAATATTAAATTAGCAAAATAAAAAGTATCAAATGTTGGTGAGAGTATGAAATTGCTGCTTTCATATTTCATTGGCATTGTCGTAAATTGGTACAAACTTACTGGAAAGCAAATTCATTGCCACTTTTAAGAACCATGCAGTAATCATCGGTTTTGACTTCATTTTCCTTGGAAAGTTTTAGAAAATCATCATAGGAAGATCACTGTAAATACTAGAGAGAAAACTATTATATGCAATGAAATCTCATAATAATATTTTTAAGAGTAAAAAATTGTAAGCAACATAAATGTCCAGTTATAGGGGAATGGCTGACTAAAATATGTTTTAGTCATGGGATAGAATAGTATGCATCCTTAAAATTACAAGCATGCAGACAGATTTGCCACGTGGAAGATTTATTGGATAGAAGGTAAAGTGAGAAAAAAATCAGGTTACAAAAAGTACAAGCATAACATGTATAAAATGTGTGTGTAACACTACTGTACTGTATGCTTAAAAATGGTTAGGATGGTAAATTTTATGCTGTTTTTTTTCTTACCACGAAGACAAAATGTATGCATATGAGGAAAAATTGGAAGAGCATATAACAAAGTGGTAGCTTTTCTGCTGTGGTGATGGGATTATAAGTAATTTTCCTTCCCCCCTCCCTTTTTTTTGTTTTTAACTTTTGGAGAACATTTTATTATGTTAACATCTTCAAACATCTTATATTTATAAGCAAGCACTAACTATTGCTTTCCCTGATACTAAGCTCATTTGTCACACCAGAATGCCAACATCTCTTTGACCAAGTGGAGGCTCTAATAACAGCCTTTTTTCTTGCTTTTCTGTGATTTCTGATTCATTTTATTCTACATCAAAAGGAGAAAAAAGCAGTGAAAATGAAGAAAAGATTAACAAGAACAGACATTTCAAGTGTCTTCTTTTCTTCTTTTGCCTTTCCTTTGTATCCGTAGTTTTTCCTTTGAACAGGGGAGGGGAGAGAAATTACATGGTTTGGCAATTTCCTATTACTACCTCAATGACCCTGGATTACATCTATAGGGATGGGGGAGGAGGTAAAGGAGATTTATAGCTCAGTGATCAAATCCTCTGGTGATTCACTTCATAAGATGACAGTTCTTCATAAAAACAAGTTGCTGAAATGCTAGAAAACCCTGTCACTACCCACCCTCTTTTAGGGAAACTGGCTTTCCAGTAACTCTGTGTTCCCTGCTGTTTCTCAGAAGGTGGTCCTGTGAGGTTATGGTGGGGCTAGAGAAAGGAAAGTTGAAGGCAGAGACCCCCATGTTTACCAGAAGTGAGTCAGACAATGGACAAAGCAAAGATCCACACCTCAGGGAGTCAAATTCTAGGGAGGGGAAACAAGCAATAAACAAAATACAGTATTTAGAGGGAGAAAATGTAATATTTAGATGGTGGTATGTTCTATGGGGAAATATAGAGGAGGGATGAGAAATAGGGCACAGTGAAGGGAGACCAAGCAAAGTTCTCCTGAAGGAGGTGACAGAGGGGGCCATGTGAATAACTGGGTGGGGGTGGCCCAGGCTGCATGAACAGCAAATGCAAGAGCCCCTTGGGAACATGCCTGACCATTCTAGAAACTAGAGGACACTGGAGTGCGGTGAGGTCAAAGGTGAGGCCAGAAAGGCAAAGGGACAGGCTTTTACTCGAAGCGAGATGAGAAAATATTGGACTTTTGAACAGAGGTGTGACATGATCTAACGTTATATAGGATCCCTTTGATCTAGGTGTTAAAAACAGTCCCACAGGGTTAAGGAAGAAACAAGAGGTGATGGAAATAATCCAGGAGGGTGGGGACGAGGGCTTAGAAGATGCTGAAAGCAATGGGGGCCAAGACCCATGTGCCAGGAAGTCAATGTCTGTAGACTTACGGTTCTTCACTTGGGTAGGCCCCATTCAAGACCCAGAGGGGGCCTAGCAATGTGTCTATATGGTGATAGGCTGTAATAAGATTTGCAAAAGTGGGATATTTCAACTGTAACTGCTTAAGACCACTGTTTCTTTTCACCCCAAACTCCCCCTTCATCTCTGGGGGTGTTGAACTGGCTATGGGCATCTGGGGGACTTTGCCAAGGAAGGTTCATCAGAGTTGTACTTCTGTATTGGGTTATATGTAGGTGGTTTGTAGTCACTTCTGTCTAGAATCACATTATTGCTAATTGTATGGCTGCCAGGAATATCCCTACTGACCCCCATGCTAACTCACCTGAGGAGGTTCTTTGTACTGAGAAATGAACATTTTCACACAGCACTGAACCAATGGCCCCAGAAGCAATTCTCTGAAAATTCTCCAGAGCATCACACATGCAAAATTGTAAGCAGAGGATTGAGTACTTGTGTATGTCTAGTCAAAAAAGCATCCTCTCTTGCCAGGAATAAAATCAACAATACAGCTTATATGATTATAAATATACCTTAAGTGGTTTTTTCTTTGCTAGGTGGTATATTTTATAAAACTTGATAACATTTTAAC